AGTTAGATACAGCAATTACATCAGCTGTCATAATAACAGATTCCCTATCTCTTTGTGTGGCACTTTCTGTTGGTGCTGATAATCACGTAACAAAGGCGTTCCGTGCCTTTGTTACGTGATTTGTTACGTGCCTTTGTTACCTGCGCATTTAAGAAAAGTGCGATTAGTTTGGGTGCCTGGACATAAAGGTTTGTTTCTTAATGAAATAGCAGATTACTTAGCTAAGTCGTCAATCAGCGAACCAATTCTACCGCTCTGTCCATCATCCGCTTATGTGACTGCTGCTCGATTCCGCAGACGTACGCTTATGCAAGTCTTTAAAGGTTCAGCACTAACAAACTCTACAGAATATCGCCATTTATTATATCCCTGGCGAAGAGACTTTTGCCGCACTCGAAAACAAGAAGTAGCTATCACAAGGCTGCGTTGCCGGGTACCAAATCTAAATTTCTATAAACACAGGTCTGCTCAGGCACCTTCGCCACTGTGTGCATTCTGTGATGAACTGGAAACAATAGACCATTTCTTTTTGACCTGCAGGCGGTTTAACACATTACGAAAAACCCTATTAGAAATACCTTTGCGTGGCATTGGTATGGACTTATCTCTGCCTGTCATTTTGTCTTTTGGAGCTTCCATTTCTGGTTTCTGTAATGGCACAGTATGCGCGGCCGTCCGGGACTATATTGATGAAACTAATAGGTTGACTAATTAACCAGTTTCATTATCTTAACATGTTCACATAATTATATACGTATAAAATCAGATTATTGCTCTATTCTAAGAATAAATTTGTTTATGTAAATAGTTGTATGCATTACATTAAGCACCACACTTGCCTATAGGCTATCGGAAATCTTTCTGTTATACCTCCATCATTCTAAATCTGAACAGTAAATTTTAAAGCCACTCAATTCTTGGCCAATCCCCCACAGTGGATATGCGCCACTAACAATAGGAGAACAACAACAACAACAACAACAACAACAACAACAACAACAACAACAACAACAACAACAACAACTCAGCCTTCACTCCCCGCAATTGCTTATCTCCAAGTTGTGTGCATTATTCTCGCCGAGTCCACCCATACTGGTGATGTGCCTCCCCTGATGAATGCACTGACCTAACCATATCTGGGGTGCTACAAACAAGACATCTCCTCGGGTATTTTTCTGTGCAGTTTTCAAATGTACAAAATAAACTAGCCCAGTCGTGTAACGGCCCAACGCGTAACGAGTAAAAATAGCAGTGAGGAACTCACCTGAATGAACAGGCCTCGTTTGGAGCAATTGCTTGCTTGCTTGTTCCTTTCTTTTGTGGCTCTCACCCACTAAGGGGGATTGGCCAAGAAGCCGGTGGTTAATGCAAGTAAATACCTATAGATTTTCTAGATTAGGGGAATATGAATACTGTGTTTTGACTGTGAAATTAATTTGGCGCAATGTTAAAAAAAGAAAAAAAAGAAAAAAAGGGGGGGGGAGAAATAATAGAATTTGTTAAATATCTGTGGTGGAATCGTTATATGAAATTCTCCTGAAAGTTGAATCATTGCAGTGTATCAGCTAAATAGTAAGTGGTAGTGTGACTAGTAAAATTCGAGAGCTGATGGCTGACTCAGCAAGGTAATCTTCTTGTGTTATATATGAAATCGCAGAGAGCCCCGCAGATGTTCCTGTCGCTATGTCCCAATGAAATGGCCCCAAAAGACAAAATATTGGGAGTATTAAGTGATATTCCTAATTTTCTGAATAAAATTTCGAAGCAGTTTTTTCTTTGATTTTCGAATCGGTGACATGTGATAAGAAAATGGTCGATATGTTCAGGTTCGTTACAGCTTGAGCACAGAGGGGATGGCACCAGACCAGACCTGTTTAAGTAGAAATTAAGAGGTGGTACACGGCAACGTAATTTTGTTACCAAGACTTCCAATTTACGCGTGGGACACCACTTATTATTCCATGTGAAGTGCAGGTGCGAGAAATCTGGATTCGGTATCATGGTTTTAGATGAGTCTTCAAGAAGGAAAAGTTTTCTAAACCTCGCTGATGTTACATACGCTGTAGGAGGCTTAATTGGCACAATCGGAAGATCAAGAGATGTTCGCGCAAGTTTGTCAGCCATCTCGTTTATAAATATACTACGATGGCCTGGCACCCATATCATTCGCACTAGACGGATGTTTGCTGGGAGTAATGATTTAAAAGTCTCTAGTACTGCTGATGTCGACGACGATGATAAGAATGAACACACAGAATACGAGTCAGTCACTATCACAGCTGTCGAATGAGTCAAAGGAAGTTTACGAATAGCTAGTATAACGGCCGTTAATTCTGCTTCAAATATTGGTGTATAATCTGGGAGGCGTAATGAAAATGACCAGAATAATGAGAGAGAAAAAATACCCACACCTGCCTTCTCGCCACTCATAGATGCATCCGTTGCAATTACTGTATTAGTACCTAATTGAGACAGGTGTTGTTCTAATAAACCAATCAAATATTTAGAGGGCAAGTGTTTAGCGTTCATGGGAAAGATATCGTCAAATTCTATTTGCACTTGGCCGATTGGTTTGACAGATGGTGTGATCTCGAATATATTAACATTTAAAGCATCTAGAAGTGTTTGAACAAATAGCACTTGGGGTTTATATAAACGGGACCAATGCTCATTGAAAAAGACACCAGGCTCGGCAAAGAATACAAATTGTCGCCTTCTTAAAGTGGATTCAGAAAATTTTAAATAGGTGTTTACTGTTAAAATACGAAATCTGCAAGCAAGGGTGGGTATCCGAGCTTCTTGATACAAAACATTGTTAGCTGTGAATTTTGGCACACCTAAACAACTACGTAGGGCTTCCCGCTCTAAGAGAATGAGGGGGTTTATTTTGTATGCTGGTCCACCAGAGAATAGTACACATCCAAATTCAAGAATCGGACGAACGTACATGCGATAAATCATGATCATCGTATCTCTGCGAAGACCGGAACGGAGGCGGCCAAGCCTACTTACCATTCCAACAGCGCGTGTAGCCTTAATTTTAATATATTCAATGTGGTCACGCCAGCTCAGTTTTTGATCGTACAGTACACCCAGATATTTAATACAATTAACCTGGGGTATTATTTCTTGATGGTACTGAAGAGAAATAGTAACTGGTGCGTCCAACGGAAAAAACTATTATAGCACTTTTAGTTACGTTCAGGTTCATATGAATTTTCTGAAACCAGGTTTCTAATGTTGCCAAATAACACTGTAAAGTCGAATGTAGTGAATAAATATCGTTGTCAGATGCAAAGAACGCGATATCATCTGCATATATATATACGTGTACCTTATCACTCTGTGGTATTGAACTTAACAAAATGTTAAATAGCACAGGCGATAGAACAGAGCCTTGAGGAACACCTCTCGTTTGGCTATACTTCGGCGTGGAAATACCTCGTTGGAAGCAATAGAATTTTCTGTCTTTTAAAAATTCGTATATCCAATTTGTTATGTACTGCGGGAACGTAAGATCTTTAGGACATTGATAAGAATAGCATGTTCAACACTGTCATATGCCTTGGCTAAATCAAGGGTTACTAGGGCTGCATATTGTCGTCTGTGCCGAGCAAGCTTTATACGAGCCTCTAAATCAACATGCGCCCACCATATAGAGTAACCTGGTCTAAATCCAATCTGGCACGCACTGAGTATCGCATTATCTGTTATGAACTTCGTAACTCTAATGTAAAGTATTCTTTCTATTAACTTAACTACGTGTGATGTTAAAGTGATTGGCCTAATGTTATCTATCTGCATTCCTAGTCCCTGTTCTTTTAGGAAGCGGTTGCATTCCTAGTCCCTGTTTTTAAGGAGCAATTGCTGTCACGCAAGCCAATCGTATCTTTCTCTTCTTCGTTGCATAGTTGCGCTTCATATGGTTCTTTTTTATGAATAGTTTATCAATTCGCAATGGCATGGGTGGTATATTGAATTTTTCATTTCTTCGGCATGATAATTTAATGTTCATAAGATGCATAATGTTCTTCATGAAAACCTTATGTGCAACTATAGGTTGTAATAGAACACAAGTCGAAAAAAAAAAGTAGCAAGATCACTCGACAAGCAGATATTATCTCCGTTGCGTCGGGCTGCGCCAAATATACAGTCAGTGTTGTTTCAAAGAACGTATGTCAAATTAAATCTACCTCAATGACAGGCATCTTATATTACACCCAGAAAAAGTGAAAGGACACAAAGAGGAAAGAAAAGTGCGCAAATACAGAACAAGCAAAAGATCTATATTTCTGTTAATATTACTTTGGGTAGTATGTAAATATATATATATATATATATATATATATATATATATATATATATATATATATATATATATATATATATATATATATATATATATATATATATATATATATATATATATATATATATATATATATATATATATATATATATATATATATATATATATTTTTTTTTGTTAAGCTACCCGATTCTTGGCAATTCCCCTATGGTGGGTGTGAGCCATAAGATCTACATCTACATGAGCGACCAAGCGTAAGGCGGCGTCGAAGCAAGCCCTTGACGTCCCCTCATGGGAGGCCCAGCACGGTCACCTAAACTTGCTGTTTTTTATTAAAAAAAGTTTGTAGCACCGTCGTCATCTGCATCATCACATTTCAGTCACAGCGCTGCGCCTCTCGCGCTGCTCGTTACCGGAGCTTACGGCGTGAGCTAGACGAGAACAAATCCTCACGGCTGGCGGCTAGAAAGCAGGCAGCCATCGCCGCTCGCTTTGAGTTTCAAGAATAAAGTGGCGAAATCCCGCAAGTCTCTCTATCTCTCGCTGCGATTTCATTCCTTCTCATCCTCCTGATCATGATGTGTTCATTCTACCCACGCAATTGAGCGATTACCCGTGTTATGCGCGAAGCAGTAATTGTGTGGTTAGAATATAGGGTGGTATCAATTAAGAGCACAATGTACGACACCAGTTGGTAAGAAACAGACAACTTTATTAAACATTTCGGCAGAAAAGCGCAAAGTTTTAACAATTCACGGACACCTTTATACAAAAACAGTCCACGCCAACACTGTACAGAAAGTTGGGAATGGGGATAGAATGGAAATTGCATCTAAAAAATCTTTGTTTGCCGGGGAGTGTTTGGGGGTAGAAAATGAGGCACAAAAAGCAGGGAAGCCTGGACAGCTGTTAAGATTTTTTTTTAATCGGAAAGCGTTCATTGCTAAACCCTTCCTCAAGAGTTTATTTTACTTTTGTTTTGACCTAGTTAAATGCTTCATTTGCTCTTTTTAAATTCTCTTCATAATCCGGATCACTCACGTGATTACTCTGCAATCTGTATCTTTGTGTATACGAGCCAATCATAAAATAAAACTATTAGCCAGCTAATCAATGACAATTTTTCAGCTTGAGCTTGGGCGTCCACATTTTTCGTTGGGTATAGATGCAGCAACCACCGCAGGGCTTTTCTTACACTTTTAAAAGCGTGTCTGACATGACCATACGAAGCTAAATCAGTGTAGGCAATGTTCCTATGGTGGCGAGGCATTATGAGTAAACAGTGCAAAAAAAAAGTTGAAGCATTTCTGTTCTAACCTCACTGAATAGTGTACCACGCACTAACCTGGACAAAAATTAGGCTGTTTCTTTTTATTGTTTTTAAATAGGAAAGCTACGTTAACGAAAATCTCAGCACCTCATAGCGAAGTTAAGCAGTAACTTCGTGAAGTATTTGTTTTAGTTGACGGCTCTAACGGTGATTGTGAGGCGGTAATTACAAAATAAGAATGACATGTCTCAGGTTTCATGTTTTGAATCAAGCACTGCTGATCCGTAGTTCTCTCTCGATACGCCAGAGGTAAATCACTCAATACTCCAATAAAATTAGTCACTTGCACATTTGTTTGCAAGAGAGCTTGCAATCATTATTGCGTTCTCTCAGAACGCCGAGGTAATTCAAGAAATGCGAGATACATGCTCAGGCACGTTCGTTGCCATTAAAAAAAGATGGAAATTGCGGAGTTAAACGAAAAGTGATTCGATGAAATGTGACGTTAGTCTTCTCTTGAAGATCAGTCGGAGTGAAGACACGGGGAACACATGGTGGGTCTTGGAAGGTTTCATAGGTTCTGAAATGAACAAAAAGTATACAGCATAACAACAGATGCGCTAAAGAAAACCCTATTGCTGAACGAGGCATGCGCGTTATGTAGCTCGAAGTTGAGCGCATAAACTGAATACAAACAAAACACAATAGCAACGTGTGTGAAAAAAGAAAGCGGCACTCCAAACACTCTTTAAAAATAATTTCCACTCAGCAGATAGCATAACTCAATTGTGGGTAATTAAATTGTGTATCGAGTTTTTTTTGTTTTGTTTTTTCTACACGCGCCATTACTTCATGTATTAGTGAGGCTGACATGGGAGTACGTAAGGTCAGTTCAACTTATAATTTTATTTTTGTTATATGCAAAGTGAAGCTCGTGGGTTGACCACTACTACACAGTACAGTTATTCTTCTCAAAGTACATCAACGAACTTTCTGGTTTCCGACCACGCTCTCCACGAGACCGACCATGCAATAAAAAGGCAAATGACACCAGAATAACCTCAGCGCCTCGGAGATACCTGACAAGCATCGCAAACCTGTGTAACTAAGCAAACCTCTTTCGTACCTTCTTTCTCAAGTATGAGGTTTGGATGTGTTCTCTTGACATGCAGTAAGGTATCGTGTATATGTCTATCACTCTTAGTTCCCGGCTAAAGGGCTAGTTAAAGTCGGGAACTAGGTGAAGAGAGTCCATTGTTCTGGTTTAATTGAGCACTTTATGCGGTACAAGATTAAGGGTGGCACCACCCTGTTCAGCCTGCCAACATTACAGCTAACGAACCAGTAATGTGACCCGGCCTATCGTATACAGGCAGTATAGTGTACGTTACAGAAATCGTATGCTCGAAGCAGCCGCGACTAGCCATCTTTCGTGGAATGCAAGAAATGCTGGAAAACATAATGGTGAGAAACGCAACGGGCAGAAGGCTTTCGAGGATATCAACCAGTATCTCAACACGCACCAACAAAGAATGATAAACGCGTGTACGAAGTATCACACACTAGAAAATTTTCTCCCTCATATTTCTTCTTTTCAGCATAGTATACTAAAGCCAGTGACGGCACCCTATGTCGGGTAATAATTCCCCTGATTGAACCGAAATACCATGTCAAAATATAAATAAAGCTAGTCGGCGCTTATGCACGTACATTCAACCACAAAAGTTTGCGAACCTTGCGAGCCCCTGCCAAACTGCTGTTATTCACTGGCCTTTCAATTTCTACTGCCACGTAGTGCACTGTTAGTTCGCAGTTCTCACACGAAGCGCTCATCTGCAGTATGACTGTCACATTTCTATTTTTATAGCAGGATCAACGCTATTGCAGCATGCCTTGAACGGCGTTCTGTTGGCTAAGTATCGCTTTGTGATATATATTGCAATTGACAAAAGTTGTGTTCATAAACTATATTCGAGGCAGAAGCACGTTGACGCAGATGACAAAAAGCGCGTCGCGGTGAGAAGCCAAAGCTGAAAATTATTTGCACCCTCTCAGAAAAGAGACAGGCCATAGATCAGGGAAGGATGATCCTCAGGCGCGGAGGTGCTGTCGATCTCCGCTGACGTAGCGGAAGTGTCCTGAAGAGGCTTTTGGCCACGCGCTCACATGGTTCGTAAACTTTTCCGCTCGACTGTGCAAGACATTCTCGACAACTTCATGGGAATCTCAATGAGACTAAGCCCAATCACGTGACCCTCGAATGCATCTTGATTGTCTATCGTAAACAGACAATTCACAGTTCTGTCTTCTATACCCAAGGATTTCGTGAACTGGCATACAAATGAACTGTAATTAAACTATTTCCAGAGACATTAGGCCAAGTATAGTGGTTTTGGGACGTTAAACCCCACAAATCAGACATTAGGCCAAACTATCTGGATCGTTGGGTTTATGATACCGAAAGTGCAAAGTGTATTTCGAAGAATAAAATAGCGGACGCCTCTGGATTACTTTTGAACGCGTGTAGTGTTATTTAGCACACACGCAAACCTAAAAACAAGACAGAACTCCTGTTACGTTCTCATTATCAATAGCCTGGCCGGCAATCCTATTCACATCATCATTCTTTGGAGCGCAATAGCACACCAACAAGTCACCACAGCTGGCAACTCCGTAAATAAAAGCTCGAACTAAGCCGCTTGAGTCTCGACCGACTGCTCTTTTTGATATCCCGACAAAACCGTTGTTGTAAAATTTTCAGTCGACCCTCACTAACCTTTAGTTAAAGCGAATTACGAAAGTGAGAACAAAATGGCCGCTAGAATCTTGCGGTTAATCTTCGATCGGCACTCTGCTGTGCGCACTCGGCGGTTGTGCGTGACTGTGTGCGAGCTCTAATGGCTCTGCCGCGTGCGCCTGGCTCTGCTGAGTGCTTCTCGGCCCCAAGTTTTTAATGGTTTGCGCAAGGCAAGACGACTCCCTAGCGTGCTTGCTACATGCAGGTACAAACTTGGGGCGCTAGCAGTGCGAGTTTCTATCCCTAGTGAGCTTAATTTCAACGCACTTGCACGAATACACGTTAGGGGCGGGTAACCGCAATACCACTCCTTAATTTCTGCTTTTCTCGCATGATCGATGACAAGTAACGGCTACGACGAAACGAGTTGGGTGTTCTGTCCTATTTTTTTCTCCCCCTTTTTTCTTTTTTCGTTTGGTCGCAGGAAGCCAGTACCAAGGTGCTTTATATTTTCGTTTTTAACTAGACTCCTACATAACTATAAGTGTAAAAAAAGTACCTATCGAAAAATAAAGAAAAAATGGGATGGTATAAAGCATGAAGCGAGCTTTTAACTGTGAATCGATGCACCTTAATTTCAGCTCTAACTGATAATCATTAAAGATATACCAGGTAATGCAGGTGAGCCTTTACGTACGACACCAAAGTCTGGTTAAGTGTTTTGTTAGCAGCGCAGTGAAAATTTCAGTCGGTCAGGAGAAAAGAGGAGCTTTTTATTAAGCGTCACTAACTGGGTATTCTTTTTATTAGGTGGCTCCAGTGCTGCTGATACAAGCATGACACATCATCTGAGTAGGGCCAGCTGTATCAACAGCCGTATATTCAATATTACGATAAAAAAGCAAGAATTAACGGAGAAAAGCCTTGTCTCCGAAACGAGAAAATCATCTTATTGCGTTCACGCAATAATACAAACGCGTACAGACAGCTGTAATAGCTGCACTGCCAGGAGCAGCACGTAGCCCACCTGTTAAGCGTTCAAGGCGTAGATGGCGAGATGGTGGCTCCCATGCGCCTCAGGGCCAGAAATGCATTCACCATTTTCTGGAAAACACAGACACCAGGATGTGCTAAATATGCTCGAGCGTAATGGCGCAATGACACTAAATCAGCCGTTTTGGTCACTCTGTAGACGGAGCGAGTTCATTTAACATACAGCAAGAATTAGGTTATTGATTGCCGAAACTAATCGAATGCAGCGAAGCTTCGTAATTGGCCACTCAGTTGGGTTGACTTCGTAAATCGCAGTGCCGTGATGCGCGTGCGGTGATACGATTCCAAAGATACGGCCTCTCTAAAAGTGATCATGGGAGCAAGCCTTGTACTGCCAGAGGACGCTGCGGTAGATTTAAAGGAACGCTGCAACACATTTTAGCTTGCTCAGAAAACGATGCCGATCGGTAGTAGAAGACCGTGGCAACGCGTGGCACAAGCATTAAAACACAGCACACGGTCTCGAATTTAGAATCAATGTTCAATATGAGCTATAAATCACCCAGTCTTCTCTGGACAATTGATGTCATAATCCAAAATGACTGCGTCATAAACACCCAGTCAACGGCCACTAGCATTTTTGAACACTGCGAGTTGCATAGGTAACGTGGCTTCCGCGAGATGCCGCGATGTGCCCGTGCTTTACTCAGTCCTAGAATTGTACACAGTTGCAAATGCATGCAGCAGTACGCTCGTGATAACCCTTCAAGTAAGCCACAGTTAAAGAAAAAAAACAAAGTGCGCAAGGTTAGGACGCGCGCTGATGCACGGACGAGCACCTTCTTGTCCCATTTGTCATTTCCCGCTGCGTAGCTTTTATGGCGTTCGCTGGTACGAAACGAGACAGAAAGTGCTTAAAGCGTGCGACAAAATCTTGCAACTTTGTTCATGCTTGACAGATTCTGAGTAATGCTTGCGGTAGTAAATCTGTTAGGAAATAAGCTCCTTCTTTATGAAATCACTCGATGATTATTTCGAAATGTGTTGCAGGGCCCCTTTAGGCCTACTTTTGCGAAATAAAAACTCCAAACACATGAACATATACATACGCGCACAAATGCCTCATACAAAAAATATTAGTGAACTTTAGAGCCCCGTCAACATAATGCCAGGCTTGCGACCTTTTCTACTAACCACAATTTGTGCTACCACTGCAACAGGTGGACGCACTTTAAAGATGGCGACTTCTTATGTATATAGTGTGGCATTGTTTAAGAAGTACATAAACAGCCTACGCTAATATGACACACCCAGATATGTGCACGATTTGTTTAGCAAGGTGTCTCCGCGTCATAGTACAAACGTCAATTCAGTAGACATTCGAAGAAGCTGGACTCGTACCTGCCACCTCCTCCTGATGACGAAACGTTTCAGCTTCTTCTTGTCCAATTGCGTGTCGTCTCTCTTCTTATCCTTCTGTATCAACAAAAAAATCAGACAGTGGACGTGAGGATATGAAACACAAAGTGCACAGAAATATGGAAAAACATAGAATTTTGCACCCCTCACATTACCGTCCCTCATTACTGTCCCTGTTAATGTTAATACTATAAAAAAGGTGCTTCTTTTGATGATTTTCTCATATATGTGTACAACTTGCTAGTTTAGCTTTTTAAGCCATGTGTGGAGATGTGCATTAGCCAACGCTTCTACATAGGTTCTTTGACAACTCACTATCAGCTCCAAGCTTTTTCTGCGCTAGCATAGCGTGAGTACACGTTTCTTCGTAGCTATATACCGCGAAAACCTACAGCGTTACTTCAGCGTTTGCCATGCATAAAAACTGGAGCCGTAAAAAGCGTTATATTTTCGAAATTTCATGCAGTGTCCAGTCATTTCAAGTATATTTCGGAATGTTACGGTCTTTATAGTTATAGCAACTAGATGCGAAACAATGACTAGCTTTTCCGATCATTCGAAATTAAAAAAGTAAGCAGATGCGAGAACCAAAGCCCGGTGCAATTATTCATGATCAGGTATGTGTGCAAACCTTATTATTATTTCCTTGCAAGACTGGTTTTGTCCCAGATTAAAAAAAGGTGCACCTGGTGCGTTCAGTATAAAGCTCTGCCTTTACAACACGATGATGGGATACTATCACGACGCAGAAACCACATAATGCGTGCATTAGGTCGATCGCTGCGGTGGTAGTGAGATTGCACTGTGGAATTTTCGCCCTTAATTTTCGCAATCGGCGTTTTAAGCATCTTGCGAAAATGTGGCATACGTGGCATATTGGTTTCCTAGTTAATGCTGGGAGTTTCAGTGGTGATTAGTGGGTTATAAGATTATGTCGCTTTATTCGAGTTAAATCTCTGAAGAAAGAGGGATTCTCGCTTGGCAGCTGGAAAACGAGCAATCACTTCCCCTTCTAAAATGAATCGACTAGGGTCACATTCACAACTGCAAGTGTAGCATACATTCATCATGAAGCAGGGCAAGCGCAACAAAATACCCCATGCAGCAGGCTGTCAATTGCACGGGAATAATGGTCTTCATATTTTGTTTCCTACTCTACTCACTGCGTTTGCAACGAACACCAATTATACTCTTTAAATTGGTGCTTCAATAATATTGCCCTCACAACTGATCCCTATAAACGATGGGCAAAGTTCAATAATCCACAAACACTAGGGATTAATAGGGCACAGAGCCGCAGCCTATCATTCCAATCATTCGTTCCAAACGCGGTTCGGGGAGGGATGCCTGGAAATCAACTAAGTGATCTGGATGCAGGACGACAGGCCACAGGTCTCTGGATGGGGGACCGATGACAACGGGCACAAAGTGAGCCACGGGTCTTTTGTTTCTGTGGACGGGGCATCATCGGTCAGGTGGTCGTGCATTCGGGGATGGCTACCGCGGTGCCAAAGCACTGCGGCAAATGACCAACCTGAAAGTCTGGTGCCTCAATTTCCTCTATAGGCTGAGGAGTTGTAACACCTACCCGAAGCCACGGATGGTTCAAGCCCTGGGCGGCTGTCATACGGTCACTGCGAAAACAAAATGACGATAGTCAAAAGTTGTTGGATAGGTACAACAATATAATCTAAAGAAAGACGAAGAACGCAACCCACATAGACGCAAAAAAAAAAAAAGAAAGCGACAAGAAAGCGACCTTTCTACAGAATGAACCAGCTATCATCCCAAGAACAGGTTCTAGTAAACAACAATATACAATTGAGTCATTTTAGATTGATTGATTGGTTGATTGATTGATTGATCAATTGATCGATTGGTTGGTTGACTGGTTGATTAATTGGCTGATTGATTGATTCGATAGATCGATTGATTGATTGATGATTGATTGATTGATTGATTGATTGATTGATTGATTGATTGATTGATTGATTGATTGATTGATTGATTGATTGATTGATTGATTGATTGATTGATTGATTGATTGATTGATTGATTGATTGATTGACGACTAACAGGCCAACTGATTGTAGACTTAAACCTAGCTATCCCTGTAACTGCTTCATTAGAAACTTCCAGATCTTCTCGAACTCTTGCCGTTTGTTAGACGTGCATCGCTATACACTTGTTACAGAAGTATACACAAACGCATACGGCCTGTTGCATATTACACATCGTCTCTATTAAATAGCAGCTGCTGCGTCCGGAAATCCAACCTGCACGGTACGACAACAAATGGAAGAATTTAAAGTCGTAACATGCATCTCGAAACAAGGAACATGCCGAAGGGCATTTTGTATTTTGCACGCGTCTACATCATTCGCAGCTGACACTTATATGTCTACTTTATGGTTCATTCACATGAACTACCTGATCAACGTCTTTCGCTTTTATTGCGGGTGGATGTCCAGACAGCAGCTCATTCTTCAGTTCTGGTTAATCTCTACCATCAGAGTTGTTTTTATGACATACGCATTTGACGACACTCACTCTTTGTCTTTCAAGAGGAGCTTTGCTATGAAGTCTTTTGCTTCTTCGGAGATCTGGTCAAAGCTCTCATCGTCGAAGTCGTATTCCGCTCTCGTGACGTTTGCCATCGTCTCGAGTTCGCTGTTTCCCATGAAAGGTGAGAGCCCGGAGAGCCTGTGGATTGGTCAGTGAATAGTTCAGACTCTAATTGCACGAAAGAAAAGAAGGCATTCAAAGAGTAACTGAGAGCGACCGGGAACATTGAATATTTTACAAATCTATCACACTTACTACAAAACTGGAATTGGGAAACGAGGAACACCCATTATTGACGCTATGTCACTCCGCTGCTGATTACATAATTATTGATGCAGCATCCGCACAAACTCATAGCCAAGTTACTAGTGACTACAAGTTCGGTTTGAGCATTTTAAGTAAAGTTGGTTAGCTTGCCTCTCCATATCATGTTTCAATGCGCACAGTTGTGAAAATCAGCTGTCAGTGGCACAGCATTAAAACAGGCGTTTTGCGTAAGCTTAGGTTATTTAGATCATATAATTTTGAGCAATTATTTCTTCCTAGTACTGCTCATGTCGACGTATGTGCACAGCATTATGAGTTTTAAGAGGTGGTCTAAAACGCGAGAAGAGCCAGCAAAAGCATCTCTATTTTTGTCTTGACTACCTCGCATCAGAGTATGTCATTAATGATGTTATTAATGCTGTCACTAATGCAATGCTGCTAGTAAAATGTCGTGGACTACATGTGTTAATGGCAGTGTATGTATTCGTATTCTTATTTAGGAAAAGATATCCACAAAAAAGTACTGTCGCCTTTGGGATTGAAAGCAACGCTGGCTAACGGACTGGTAATTTGCTGGCAGGTGAGAGAACATATTTGGACGTGTGGGCGTATACGAAATGTCCTATCCATAAGTTTGGTCGCGCATACTTTCGCCAACGATGCTATTCGTGTGTAGGTTAGTGACATGGTTAACTGGGGTATTGCAATTAAGAAATCGAACCGGCAATGCATTCGCTAAAGTTTGCTCAAACATCCTGTTTGCTTAAGCGCTTTCGTTTGTGTAGGACCTCGAAATACGAGAGTGTGCATTGGGAACGAGTGAGTAAATAGGGGTCGAAAAGTGATCAAGCGGCGCAGCGACTAATTCCAGAGCCAAGTGAACACAGAAGTCACATGAGGGACTGATTTTTAGTTTTATAAAGTGAGCCAGGGGCTAAGTGATGGAGTGCCTCAATATGCTGTTTAGTACACGGTACACTGTATGATTGATTGATTGATTGATTATTTGATCGATCGATCGATTGATTGATTGATTGATTGATTGATTGATTGATTGATTGATTGATTGATTGATTGATTGATTTAGTGAGTGGGTGTGTGAGTGAGTGAGTGAGCGAGTGAGTGAGTGAGTGAGTGAGTGAGTGAGTGAGTGAGTGAGTGAGTGAGTGAGTGAGTGGGGCAAAACAGACCATACTACTCACAGGACATAGCAGATGACGCCGACGCTCCACATGTCTGTCTGGAATCCGACCTTGTCAAAGTTGACGACCTCGGGAGCCACGAACTCCGGTGTGCCAAACAGTACCTGCAGCTTCTTGCCAGGCTCGTAGAAGCGCGCCAGGCCAAAGTCGATCAGCTTAATACGGTTGCCCGTGCGCGTAGTGCACAGAACGTTCTCCGGCTGCAAATGCAAGGAACGGGCAAAGCGTCAGCTGCGCCCAACTGGGTGCGCGCCAGTTTTGCCAACCAGGCCCGGTAATTAAGCGTTACCCTTCGCTTGCAGCGGACCCTATCAAATGAGTGCACCGAGTTTATTAACTCTAGCAAGTAACGAAGAAAAAAAGTAAGCGCGTGCTGGCATCATGCTGACACTGTCATCAGCTCACATGCGCACTTGAGTATATGAAATATGGCCCCAATCAAAGCGCGATGACTGCAAGTGACGGCAAAACACAGTAAAGAAAACCTCTTCCTTTACTGCTGTTATTGAAGCCATCTATAACGACGCCTCGTACGAAGCCGTGCAAGCATGCAGGATGTGTTTGTGTATCTTTAAATATTAAGTGTTGACTGACGTAGCACGTGCTTCACATCACTTCTTGCACAAATCTGAACGCTAGTACGTAATATACTCTTAAATACAATAAATTTGTGTAACGTCTAGAATAAGAAGGGCCAGCACAGCAAGGAGGCTTCACTGTTTATTACAAAATTGTATTATCAGTAAGCTTTGCTGGATTCTTGTCTTTGGGTGTTTGTTGTCAGTGAGTCAATTACTCAGCGGTGTGCAACTCCATTACTCCCCATACTGGCCGTGATGTGCTTGCTCCTAACGCAAACTAACGATGCGTCTCCGCGATTACCGGCTGTATTTATAACTGTGACGTGTCGTAAAGCTACATCAGAGATATTACTTCCCACGAAACGTTCCGGAACACGAATCGAGCTCCTAAATTGGCTCTCTACGGTGGTCTCACTAGTATACAGCCACCAAAATGAGTGACTGCCATCTCTCCCTCTCTCCTCCCTTTCTCTCTCTCTCTCGTCTCATTGGCTGCTTCTTCATCGCTACACCCTTCCTATTTCAGGTTACTATTTTAGCGCGAATACCTTGCCCAGTGCGTGACTCACGTGTAATCCGGTTCCATTTTTTCAGAGGCGAGTCACTCTCGCCTGCGCTGCAGATGTCCGCCTACGCATCTTCGTAGTATCGCAGTAAAAACCGCGCACCTGTGCTTAGAAGCCTTTTTAATGTATTTGATTCATTATCTCAATGTTTCATCTCTCTCTTCTCTTGACTTTGGTCGTATTTATTTTTGGAAGGGGAGGGCCCTAGGCGAATGCCGATGCAGTGAGGCAGCAGTGCGTGCGGAGCGCCTGCCAAATCGCCAGATTGTCAGTAGCCGGTGGAAATGATTAATGACCCCTCCAGTCCACCCACGCGGACGCTGTGCGCTGTTACTACTGCTTGATGCAGTGTAGTCGCGAGAAACTAATGGCCGCGATTATGAGGCCTTCACCATTAGTCATGCAGCCCGCGCAGGTAAGTTACGTGAGAAACGAGAGTTAAGACGAGCTCAAATACGGCCATGAGGATAGAAAAGGGAAAAAAGAAACGATAAAAATTGTTCATGCACACACTCAATCTGCTTAACATTCTCTTGAAATTTCGCTCAGAGTGTGAAATATGGCGCCCGCAACTCTTTCCCAAGCATGGTCTCACTGTGTCTGATCCGCTTGCCCGCGCACAGATGCATGTATGTACATGTCTTGAACGAGGGCTCTTAGGGTGCCACTATACTGCTGTCTGGGTTTCTGTAAATATGTACGGCTCCCCAAACAAATTCGCTGCCGAGGCAACGACGTCAGCCTTTGTACTCTTGCGACACTTCATAGAGGAATGCTCCTGCCATCTTCTGGAAAAGTCTATGCACCGGCAGAAGTGTCTGTATCATAACAACAGCTATCTCTCTATCTTACTCTCTTTCTTTTATACAAACGCACAAACGCAGGCACTGAGAGAGAGAGAGAAACGGGCCGATTCTCTGCTGACCGCAATTGAATTTACGTCACACGATTTTTTCAAACACCATAGGCCGAGTACTCACTGAGCTACGCCATCAATTCTAGCAGCCTAGCAAGGAAACAGTTCTTAGCGTTCACACGCACCAGCGCGCCGCGCATCTCGGAGACCATGCATGCCCGTACTAACAGCGGCGTTACTGGATAGCGCAGCGGCGAAGAGCGAAGCGCAAGGGCGTAGGACGCACGCCTCGACGTGCGGCATCGAGATCGCTATTAAATACTGCGTTCTTTAATATATCACAGCCAGGCGATGTCTCCTTACATTCGCTATTTCAATCTACATTTGTGTGTCCTTCAGCGTTAAGATGCAAAATTATGTCCTCGTGCTAATCATATAAACAATACTGTAAAATCCAATTATAACTCCTGCTTGAACATAAATATATCGAAATTGTTTCCTCCTTAGCCTTCACACCTCTATCACTAGAGTTTTTTTTTTTTCGAACTTGCTTCGTATAAACTGAGCTGGCTCCTGACCACCCTACTTTGACATTCAGAATCTCTTCTACCGAATGGCTCAGTTTACTCGGGAGTTAGCGGCTGTGCAACGCTAAAAACTGAAAATAACAGTTTTGCTGAAACTTATTGACCGGTTGGTGTTGGATAATATTTCCTTCTCTTCTGTCTCTCGCTTCTCTCTTTTTGACTCAAACGCGCACCCACGCACGCGCTCTGCATGCATGTGTGTGTTTCCAAGTGTACGCCTATGAGAGTGCACGTGCAAGGACCAGCCGGCCGTGTTTTCTTCGCGAGCATTTCGCAACCTTCCCTTAGGCCTGACCATTAAAATGAGCAGGCAAGCAGCATACCAACGTGCTATTTTCTCCTTGAATGCTACGTTTTCGAGGGCCACCTTCATACGTCTGATTGACGTCATCAGAGAACGGTAGTGTGATAGTAAAGAATCGGGTGTGAGGAACGTGACCAGAGGGATCTTGTCTCACCTTCATGTCCAGGTGGAGGATGTTTTTGGAGTGCATGTAGTCGACACCTTCGCATATTTGCCTAACGAAGATGGCGCAGGCTTTCTCGGTGAGAACGAAGTCGTCATCAATCACCCTCTCAAAGAGCTCACCGCCTTCGATCCTGGAAAAAGACGAGAAAGCCGTCAAGAGGCAAAACAGAAAGATATGTTAAGTCAATAGCCGTCACCCTTTTTATGGTTCGCTAAACATAGACTGTGAGTGTTGTTATCTCGACAGGCACCGCACCAGGTGTCATCATTAGGCCGTGTCAAAGCAAGTCACTCTCTCGACTAGCTGTTAGCTGCAGGCGCGTTCCTCACAAGGTCGGTCTAAATTGAGGGCAACACTAAATTAAAGTCCTGGCCTTTCCGAACTTCCCGGTTGGCCGCAAAACACAGGCGTGCGAAAGGACACGGACGTACGGCCCTCAATTTGCTACCGCTGACGTCTTCCTCAACGTGGGGCAACGGAGCTGCTTCGACGGCGGCCGCCCAGCCAGCACACGTCGCGCCATATCCGCTTCTCCAGTTCACTACGGTGCTGCTCTTGAACAGCTATTTCGTTTCGCAAAGTGTGTTATTGCAGGCAATTCGTCAGTTCCAAAGCCTCGCAGCGCTGGCACGAATCGCTGAATTGTCAATGGTAGCTTAAAGTGGTCCGTTATGATTGAAAGATCCTAGATATTAACCTTATGGTGCTTATTGAAAGCTGGGAAAATCGTGCCGGTCGCTACAACTTAACCACTTTGAACTGAGGCACGAGGGAAAAAAAGTTAAAAGTGAAGAGGAGCCACATGCGCGATCGCTTATTTTCCTCAGTTTTTTTTTTATTGCCTGCCTTATGATTCGGATACCAAATAAAGCGCTAGACATTACCAGTGGACCAGACCTTCTTCCTCTAGTTTTCCTGGTGAAGGTAGTGCTATATAAAAAGGTCTGATTAATTGTGACACTGCTGGAAATTCACGACACTCTCGGCACACACGTAGTTCAGGACGAGTAGTGATAAGTGGAGAAAATGGAAAGGAAGTTCACCAGCTTGAGCCTCGCTGAGTGCCTTGCACGAGGGAGAGAAAAGAGAATGATGGCAAGTGCGGCTGAAGATCTTACCTTGCCCAAATAGATATAGACCAAGAAACGTTTGTGTACGAATTCGTCAAAAGTGCCTGCAGTGATCCAGAGACCCTATGTCGTTGTCATGAGATTGGCGAGCCTTAAGTCTATTGCGACATTTTACGGATGCGCTTAGGTGCTTCTATATTGGACTTAAGCCTCGCTGTTTTGTATCTTTAATAGTAACTTAAATGGAACACTAAAGCCAAATAACAACTTAATTGAAAGTGAAATCTCAATGTATAGCAACGTCTAAAATGACGAAATTATCAGCAGCAGAGCCCTACTTACGATAAATTAAGGTAAATGCACGAGAACATATGCGCTGCTGCAGGACATTTGCAAAATAATCCCCATCACGTCAGAGTTACAGCCCACCTTTAATCACTACTAATCGAACAATTGCAGTAAATAAAGAACCTTCCATTCATTCAAGAGACGTAAGAAAATGCTGTTCGATTGTGTCTGTTTGATTCCTGAAAAAAAAAGAACCACCAGACTGTTACTACGGCGCGAGTGGTTCAAAAGTTCAATTTTCGGCTGGTTAAACTGAACAGGTCCTGCCATCTAGCGGGACTCATTTGAACCAAGCACGTCTGCCATCTCGGAACCAATGGTAGGAAATCGTTCAGTGGCCGTTGTTGCTCTGCTGTGGCCCCCATCGCTCTAGCTCTGCATGCTACTATAGTGTCGGCGGCTGCACAGAAAAGCCGGGCAACGTGCAGAAAGGCACGGCAACAGTTGCGTGAGACGTTCGGCTTGAGGCGGGTAATTTGAAGTGCGCTAACCCGATGCGTACCACGAAAACGTGATTTTATTTCATAATAAGCAGTTATTTGGCCCCAAAGTAACGTCTGTTTGTTATGACGGCGAGACACGACCATGAATGAGCAAGCATCTTGCGAATATAAATGAGAGCCTTACTTCTTTAATTACGCGTGGCTTAAAGCAAAAGCTTCATGTCCCAATAGTCTGACAATATTTGATACTGCCAGTTAGAAGTTTTTGTTGGTCAGGTCGGAACGTGTTTCGGTATCTTTTACAGTAAGGTCCAACAATAACTCGTGAATACTCTGAAACTTACAATATCGCATGGACTACAAAAACCAAGCATTTCTACAATACCAGGTCGTATTGATGAGGATGACGTTTCTGGAGTTAGCCTGCTTGACCTACCTGGCAATAGCTCCGATAGAACTCATCTTGGCACGTAACATATTTTCCTATGGGTCACCTCGTCTATGGCCTCCCTCAGAAAAGCCAAAAGAATGCTATATACCCATAATCTCGCATGGTATCGGCACTCCTCCTGTGAAGATAAACAATCTTTTGAGGAAGACCTGTTTTTATGGTGTTGTCTCCCACATTCCTCCTTTTTGGACAGAAGCACTCGCAGCAGCGCGTGAAACGCTCGACATCTATGCATTTTTTTTAATTCGGCAGTTCATAGTCGTCGGGCGTAGCACGCGCTATGTTCCGATGTATTCCGCCTTTTTATAAAATCCGACGTCAGTTTCCCCTTTTGAGTTTATTATGTTTAGTCTTTATGCTTTACTTCAATTGCATAAAGTGTCACTAAACTGCTTGCTCAATTTATACACTTTCAATTCAATAAAAGTGTTCCCTATACTACGCCTCTGTAAGGGGTCGTGGTCCCAGTCAAGCACATTAGAGGCTTTTAGACCGCGGCCCTCAACATCCCGAATGTTCAAATAAATAAAATTTGAAAGTTTCTAAGTTTCAGCAGTACAGGGAAGCGACTTTAAGTGGAGACAAGAACCCGTCCCACGATCACATACGTAGGGCCGCATTGGTGTCTCTCTCTGACGTCAGTCCACGTGGCATCCTCTCGACTGTAGGGCGAAAATATTTGCGCCCTTCCATGGCGAATCTTTGGGGCGCTCTTCCTTTATTTACTTTAAGCTCCCACATGAAGAGAAAGTAACCTGCCGACCGAGCAGCGGACTATATTTTCACCCGACTCGAGAAAGCCACCTCTCCCCATCCGCCCACGTACGACTCGGGCCGCCCGCAAAAGCGCCAGATGCCCCTGGCTGGCACACGCTTCTTCAAATGCGAAGGAAAGAAAAAAAATGAACTTGAGGACTTCGGGGAGTCAACAATCCTTCAACAAACAAAACGGTTACGTAAAGTGCCCCACTACCCTCCCCGGAGAATGGCGTGTAGCGCTGGGGCTCTCAAAACCCGTGCCGCACAGAGAGAGTCAAGTGGAAGCGTTTCCCAAACAGTGGACTGTGCACTGCTCGCTGCTGCGATCCTCTCTCTCGGGCGCAAATTATAGCATGCGCAGCTGCGCTCTGTTTCAAACCTCTCAACCAGCGCTTGTCACACGAAGCGGCAGCAACAGAAAGCGCGACAGTCGCTTGGCTTCAGAGGCAAGTGGGCGTGGTATACGGAGAGCGGTCGCTATGCGGGTCAGCGGGACGAAGGCATCGTAAAGAAACGGGGCTTCAAGAAAAACACGAGCGAGCGACGCGTCGCAGCTGGCCACCCTCGAATGCAGTGACGGATGCCCGTCATTTTTTTTATAAGTGCTGAGGCCTGACCAGGCTTTCACGTCCCGAAAGTTTCACGTTTAGTCTTGGGAGCCGAGCTTCTTCTATTGAAGAGTCACATTCGACTAACACTAACGCCTCCGTGATGCGCAGAACGAATGTGCCCTTCGGTGCCAGGCAGAGCAAGGGTGCATCATGCCAAGATAAGCATCTGTACGACTGACTGCCCGATTAGTTTGTGTAATGTTGTCGTAGCGACAGAAGAAACACGAACACGGGGCAAAAGAGCACCAGGACACTCTCATCTTACTGACAAGTGTCCTTTTTGCTTACACTTCACCGATTTACGTTTTTTTTTCGTTATCATGGCACATTTGGCGGATGTCTAAGGTCTCCTAGTTTTGTTCTGTTATCATGGTACATTTGGCGAATGTCTAGGGCCTCCTAGTTTTCTTCTGAGCCCTCTGATTCATGTCCTTCTCGTTCATCGAAAAGATACCTTCGCATTATACTATCAGCTTTACGCCGGCTCGCGTTTAAACTCACGCCAACTCGCACATACTACTAAGTACCAGCGTTCATACGCCAGATAAATATCGTCGATCGGAGGCGTGAGTTACGAAGGAAGGGGGTGTTGTGAGCTACAACCCCCCCCCCCCCACCCGGGGTAACTCTTTCCCGGGCATTCTTGATAAAAGTATCTCGTGTGAATCATCCCTTTTAATAAAATGCCCGAGATGGATTGCGACCACCGATACCTCATAAGTACAAGATCACAAGGTGCGAAGTAGAGCACCGATTACATCATATATTGGTGTTCAAGAGCATTGACACCGAGTTTGAAAAGGCCCATTGTACGCTAACGAACTCATGAATCGGCTAACTCATACTCAAATAGAGTCGTGCATCAGAGTCTAAGGCACATATTCAAAAATCAACCTCTGCCTTACCTCACGTTTTCCTCAACTTCATGTACTCTCTACATGCGTTGTAAAGGCACAAAAATGGTAACAGGGTGAAAGATAAGGACAAGACTGGTTTATGAATACAGGTCCAATTTGTTTATCATGCGCAATAAAAGTTTAAATCCGATAAAGAAAACTCGAGGAAAGGTTGACGTTGGTTTGTGAATACGGGCCGGAGTGAGTCCAAGTAAGTAATATGTTCATGAACCTGAGTCCGAGTGAGCCCAAAGGACCAAATATATTTCATGAGTGAGTCTGAGTGGGCTCTACATTTGTTACCGGCCTCCAGGACACAAGTTCACCCAATAACAAGTTTCGTCTTTCCATGTCCGAGTGCATCCTTCTTCACCGTGACGACCACGTTACAGTATCATTTCCTTTCTTTTTGCCTTTACGACTCGTCTACGTATCGCCATGTCAAATGGCGCGTTGTGTATTGTATGCATAATTGAAAGACGTTCGTTAATAGTATTTCATCAGGATTGACTTGTAGTCCCTAAGGCTGCTGCTACACTGCTTCTATATTCAGGTGCCCATTAATATTACGACCGCGTGACGGCTTTGCAATGTACCACAACCACGAAGCGTTCACTGTAGCTGGTACATACACGTCAACTGTCTGTGTGGTACGCCTTAATCATAGGTGCGTTCGTGTAGTAGGCGGCCGGTGGTGGGGCGAAGTGAATGAAACCAGCGACGAACAGCATGCTAGCACGGTGTACGAAAGTGCGCCGGTCAACAGAGCGGCGAGCATGCGAAGCCAGGCCCTCTCCTCCTCTCGAGCTGGCTGTCACCGGCCTCGAGGCACGCTCTCCTGGTGGCTGTCAGGGGCGGCGGCGGCGGCTATTCCTAGCCCCGTGCTTGGCATCGCTCCCGGGCACTGGGTCGCGCCGAACAAAAGGCCGACGGGCCTCGCATCCACCCCGGCCCTTGAAGGTTAGGGCGGCGCTTTAAATACACGCCGCGCATAGAGTGCGCAGGCCCGACTAACATGCTTCGCGAGGCTTTAGGTTTGCTCGTGGTGGTGGCGGCGGCAGTGGTGGTGGTGGTGGTAGCAGTCGCGCTCATGCTGCTGCGCTGGTCTGGTGGCAGGAGGCGACAACATCGGCAGCCAGGCGGGGTGGAAGCTTTTGTCCTCTCACGCAGTGGTGCGCAAGGCCGCGGAGTACGCCTTCCTCGCACATGCCTGCGGCTCACTCGCTTAGACTATCTCTCTCACTCTCACTCACTCTCTTGCCTTTCGGCCTCCAAACCCGCTTTTTATGCGCTCACAATCCGCGCATTCTTCTGCTGCTTTTGTCTCCCGTGGAATGACGAACTTTCTTGGACCTCCGGTTCTCTCCAAAACTGTTTCTTGCTCTTAACGACATCGAAAAAAATTTTTGCCATCCTCGCATACCCCGCGCATACGCGAGCGGTCGCCTGCTGAGGCATGTGAGAACGTATAAAGGATCGTCGACCAGTAATTCCTTTTTTTTTATTTATCGCTCAACAGTTCGAAAGGTCGGCGAGAACATTGGCGCCTGCATAACTTCTACTTCTACCATTGGAGTCACCTTTAAAGAAACGGTAAAAGTACTTCGAAACTTCGAGTTGTTACTGCTTGTTAAATGTCTTATTACCACCTTTATCACTTCACTTATTAACGACAAGGGCATTAACTTTTACGTCCTTTGTCATTACTAACAGCCTCAGTAACTTACTACATTAGCTGTTACTAACCCTACGAAATAATGTAAAGGTTGTTAGAAATCAAAGGTATTAATCGTTGCTAACATGCTCATTTTGTCAAATGAACACCTTCATTTTATAATAAATATTTAAAAACATACACTCATAACTCTACATTCTGACTGCAGGGTGGCGTGTGGCCTAAATAAGTGTCGAAGCACCAGGGCCTGTTGTTTATCGCGGCTGAGATTTCAAGATCCGACTTCCAGAGTTAAGTAACAATGCGCGTGGTGAGAACAGCACGGCGAAGTAACACTTTGCCGGACCGCGAGGCTGGGGCATGGCCAGCGGACGTCAGAGATTCCCGTATTTTTAGAACCCCTTTAACAATCAACGTGCTGAAAAGAAGAGAGTACCGAAGCCAAGCAGTTTCCTTCTCTTAACCTGTAACGCGATGATAGGTCGCTCTGAGTAAACAGGAAAGCGAATACCTCGTGATTTCGCTTCACCTATTCTTGCACACGCCTAAGTGCCGTCTTTTGCGAGTTTACACATAACAAGAGCCGTACCATGCTGACTTTTACACTTTCACCAAAAATGACCGCCAGAAGTGTACTGCACTATCGATCCCCATTCGTTTTTACTTGCCAAGTAAAGTGTATTGAAGATCGATATTACATGTTTGTCTCTTTGACTCTTTTTTTATTTCCCAGTTACATCGGCACGCACTTTTTTTTTCCATTTTCCTCTACCGCATTTTTTAATACGATCTAGGGACAACTGAATTTGCCTTGCATTTTGATGCAGTGTCTCTTTGAGAAAGCAAACTTGAAAGCTTTTTTTTTCTTTCAAGAAACACTCAGCTCATTGTAATCAATCGAGCTTTTAATATTACACTGTGGGCAATCTGCTTCCGTAAATTTGAAAAGAAAAGGCTGGGTCGTTTTTTTTTTTGTTTTTTTTTTTTTGTTGTTCAAGTATAAGGAGCACTACATGTCCAAGCAAGTTCAATATCGTTGGGCCATAAAGTCAAGAATTAGTCGCACTTTACATTCCTCAGCTGATAACTTGCGGACAAGGCAGGGAAAAAAATACATGGATATTCCGAGCAAAAAGCTCGAAGGACTTAGAATTTTTTAGGCCCTGTCACTAATGTAATCCACGGAAAGCCAAAGAGGTGCCCCTGTAAAACTTCACAACAGTTGTGCCTAGTACGGACACGCTCGAAACATTTGTTTCTTTTTGTACAAAACATAGGAGAATCATTTCAAAAACAAGAAGACAACGATGTGAAGTCCGCGTACAAGAAGGAAACGAGAAACCACATGAAGCGCTAAAATCGTACTCCATCAATGACAACTCACAATTCTAGGATGAGGATCATCTGTTTTTTGGAGTCGTCGAAGGCATCGTACAGCTGCAAGTAGGCGCGGATGCTGGAGCGAGCGCATGATCTCCACCTCGCGTTCCACGTCCGCGCGGTCTTCCGCCCGCTGAGTCAGGATGAACTTGGCCGCCAGTATCCGGCCCGTCTTCTTCTCCTCGCAGCGGTACACCGTGCCGAACTTGCCTCTGCGCAGCCACAATTCGGTCGTGAGAAATGGTATACCAGTAAAGCACTCATTATCTAGTCTTAACTTCCAGACATCCGTATGGTTGCATACCATACTTTTTGTGAGGGACGGACAAACATCTTTGTTAAAATGCTGAAATGTTCGCCGTTGCGTGGTAGGCTTGCGGCTTGCAAACAAGTTCGGTGTGTGAAATGATTCATTCGTAAATGTTGTAGCTCACAAACATGTCATCCTCAACATTGTCACCATCATCCTCCTCCTGACCACGTCACCTGCAGGACAAAAGCATCTGTCCCATGTTCCGCCAATCAACGTGAATTGCTGCGGTCACGTTGTACACGCAGGCTTATTAATCTCATAGACCCACCAAACTTTATGTCTCCCCCCCTTGCGCGTTTTCTTTCTCTTGCAATCTTCAACGATCCCCTAACGACCAACGGTTATTCTGCCCACGCGCTACGTGCCCGGCCCATGTCTGTTTCTTCTTCTTGATTTCAACTATGATATCCTCATAACCCGTTTGTTCACTGACGCACTATGGTTCTTTTCTGTTCCTTAAGGGTATACCTGTCATTTTCCTTTCCTTTGCTTCCTGCATCTTCTTCAATTTAGGTTGAACCCTCTTCTTAAGTGTTTCTCCTCCGTAGATAAATACCGGTAGGATGCAGATGTTATATACCTTCCTCTAGAGGGATATAGTAAGCCTACCGTTCCTAATTTGAGAATGCTTGCCGAACTGTGATCCACTTCATCCTTATTCTTCTAGTTATTTCACTCTCATGGTTCGGCTCACTGTTACTTCTTATCCTAGTATACATATTAATTTACTACTTCCAGTGTCTCGCAACATATCGCAAAGCGCTGTTCTCTCCCGATGTCGCTGTACATAGTTTTAGTTTTTCGCATATTCATTTTCAGACCTACTCCTCTGCTTACGTGACCAGTCGGCAGGAGTGATCAGTGATCATGATGCAGTGATCACGAGTTGTACTTCATTAGTCAAGGTATTCATCAATGCGAAGTCATCAGCGACTTGCAGGGTACAAAGGGCCTCTCCATTAGCTATTATCCTTAACTCTTCTCAATCTAGGGTCTCCTGTAAACACGCGGGGAATAGCATTCGGGAGATTGTGGCTTCATGCCTTCCACCCTTCTCTGTTGGGATTCTGACGCTTTCATTATGGATGATTATAGAGGTTACGTGTCCCTCATAGATTTCTTCCAGTATGTTTATACACATACATGCTTCGTCAACGCCCTGATTCCAAAGTGCCAGCATGACAGCTAATATCTCTACTGAACCAAAAGCCTTATCATAATGTAAAAAGCTATATATAGCGCTTGGTTGCATGCCACTCATTTCTCTATCATCTTATTCTGCTTGGGTCTTTGGTTGATTGAACTCTGATGCAAGGCCGCTTAATTTTAACTTTAATTTTATTTGCTAATATTTTTGTAAATAGCTTGTAAAATACAAACAGTAAGCTGATCGGCCTGTGATTTTTCAACTGTTTGACGTCCGATTAAGGTGATCTTGGCATTCTTCTAAGATTCTGGTGCCCTCCCCATCAGGAGACAGTTGGTATACATAGTGGTCAGTTTTTATAATACAATCTCTCTACCATCTCTCAACGTGTCTTATGTCACCTGGTCTTAACCAGTGACTTTGCTTCTTTTCTTTCCCTCGAGGACTTTTTTACTTCCCCTATCGTTACTGGTGGAATGTCAGGTCTCACTGCTTCTTACGATATCATCCTGGTTGTCTAGGCTGCTTTATAGATCTTGGGCTCTCACTGCTTCTTACGATATCATCCTGGTTGTCTAGGCTGCTTTACAGATCTCCGTGGAATTTCTTCACCAGCTGGCAGTGACCTTCGCTTTTTTGGGTTTCTTAATGCATACATCTCATTATTGCCTATGCACAGTTTTGCCTTCCGAGCTCTTAAGCCTCTTCCGCTCTTTAGAGCCTGGTCAATTAGCTCGGTGTTATACATTTTTATGTTGGCTACCTTGTGCCTATTGATTAGCGTCGAAAGCTCTGCTGAGTTTTATCTTGTCTGCTGTGTTTGAAGTTCCTTAAGGAGCTTTTTTGTCTCCCAGAAGAGCTTGCCGTGGTGCCCTGTCTGATGGCTGTACCTCCGACTTCTACTGCAGACTAGCCAGATTATCATTCATTGCGTGAACGCTAAAGGTGATTTTCCTTGGTTAGAGCCTAGTAGCTATCCGGAAGCAAGACCTTCAATATCCTACACTTTCACTCTCAGCTATAGTTTATTAATCGTCTTGCATATCAGTTTTTGCCATTTTTTCCTCAAGTCTAGGCGAATTCGAGACCTTACCATTCTGTGGTCACTACATCGTACCTTGCCAAGCACTTCCACATCCTGCGCGATACCCGTTTGTGCACAAAGAATGAAATCTATATCACTTTTTCACTTTTAGTTTCGCCATTAGAACTTCTCCACGTTCTCTTACGGTTCACTCGTTTTCGGTAGGAAGTGTTCAAGATGCGTAATTTGTCACGCTCTGCGAACTGCACTGGTCATTCCCATCTGTAATTTCTAGGATCAATACCACATTTTCTCACTGCGTGGTCTCCAGGCTGTGTTTTGCGTGACTTGGGGTTAAAGTCACCCATTAGTACAGCATACTGTGTCTTTACCTTACTCATTGTTTATTCTACGTCTTCGTAGAAGCGTTCAACTAAATAGTAATCGTGGCTGGATGTAAGCGCGTAGGCCTGTACCAAGCTTCATATTTGTACCTCTTAAGTTTCATTGCGATACTTTCCGCAGTCTCACTAATGCTATAGTATTCCTACAGTGTTACCATAGCTATATGTTTATGGATAAGGAACCCCTACCCCCGCTCTTTTCTGTCAAGTAAGCCACGATAGCATAGGACGTGCTCGTTCTTCAGCAGTGTATAAGCCTTATCAGTCCTCCTAACTTCACTGAGCCCTGTAACATCCTACTTGACAACCGCTAATTATTCAAATAGCACAGCTAAACTGGCCTCACTAGATAATGTTCTAACGTTAAACGTTGCCAAGTTCGGACGCCAATGGCGGCCAGTCCGGACACAGAGATTTATAGCAGCTTGCTAAGGAAACTCACCATACACATATGCAAATGCGATAAGCGAAAGTTACAGCTTATGATCAATGATAGCGTCCAGGAGTTCGAATAAAAAAGCCTTACCAATTTTTAATACATCAGATCAACTGAAGCCCGCGCACAAAGAATTGGGTAAACGACTATGCATTCTCTGTGTTACTTATTTTTTTATTATTTCGTGCATGCGATGCTGATTAAGTAAGGGTTTTGTGGTATACTTTTCATTCAGTTCATATTGTAGACACGTTTCTTCATCCCCTAGCACAGGGTAGCTAGCTGGATGCCTACAATCTTGATCGCTCCCTCTCTTTCCCTAGTCTTTCTCTCGTTCTGCTACGATCTGCTGTGTTGGTTTAGCTGTTTCGTCTGGCAAAGCAAAAGATCCAGAGCGAATTTTCTACCAAGACGCATTCTATTGTCACATGGTCTTACACGAAAACATAAAACGCCCTCCGGAGTTGCTCCAAAGGCTCCAACAAAAGTCGAAAGCCGTATTCCACATATCTTTTTTTTTTCATTTTCATTTTTGTTCCAATGTCATTCATCTGAATTTCTGATACTTTGATAAGTAGTTTGAAACGTGTCCCTAATATAATGCGATAAAGAACAAGTTTATGACCAAGTCTGCAAAATCAAGTGCCGCTAACATTCACGTCGAGTTTCGGGTAGAAATACTAAAACAGCCTCCCAGTGCAAGATTTCAAGAGAAGTAAAAAATATATATTACTTTATGGTTGCTCACCATACACGTCTGTAATCCCTTAAAAGCCAATGGCATAGTCATACGGATAAGCTCAAATAGTACCTTACTGGTGGTGCTACCCAGATTCCAACGCTCTTAGACAAATTATTAATTTTGAATTATCGCCCTTCCAATTAACTTCTCTAAAATAGTACCTCGCCATCGTGGTGTTCACAAAGACAGAGTTTTCAAAGGTAGAAAAAATTATTCAAGCAAACTATAGGTCATGAGGCATCCAGCTTTTTGTTCTGCCTGCATGCGGAGGCAGATTTTCTAAGAGTATTCCAAAGCATGCCGTCTCATCCGTTTCTCCATCCCCATCTTGGGAGCTTACTAGAGATTTACATAATTTTGACTGGGACGGAAAATACGTCATATCAAAAAGACGTTGAAGATGGCAAATGTTGACGACAGCTCGCTGCGAGTTTACTTACCTTCCCAGTTCATCCTTGAGTGCATATTCTGTTTTGACATCTTGGTTCTTCTTTAACTTTACTTGCCTGGGCTCAAAAGGAGGCTCAGGCTCTGTAAATTAATCAGAATAGTAATATTGTAAAAAAGAAAGCGACTATAAGCATATTACATCACTATAAGCACTACAAGCATATAGTCACTGTATGCATTGACCCTATAGTCACAATGATCATATGGCATGCCATCAAGATTATCTGCCCATTCATGTTCACGCTTAAATTTGGTAGCTCGGCACACGTGTTAAAATTTGCCAAACCTTCTACATTTATGCGATTTTCTTTAGGTCCAATACATATGTTTGAATTTTTGAAAGTAATGATTTCGCCAAGAAGTTATACCCGAAAAAAATTCAAATCTTACAACATCCAAAAAAGTTAACACCTGGCCACCGGCATAACCTGTACATCAAATTAAGATTAATAAAACAAGAGGTTAGAAAATTAAGGCTTATACATGTTGTATTAAGAAATTTAAGGAAATTTTTTATCAATATTGCAAACAAGACTGCATGTGTGGTCATTAGTAAAAATATCACAAAGCAAAATATTAACTTTCTGCACCTTGCACTAGAACTAAAACATTTTTACCACACATCCATGGCGATAATCGTGACTGTAGTATAGCATGCATTGCGAAAATAGTTCCTTCGTTAGTTGAGCACGTCGAGTCAAGGGAAATCGATTGTACAAACATAGGGCAATAACTTACCATGAAAAATCCTTCCGCAGTAAAAGAAAAAAAAAGATAAAAAACATTCTAATTATTCAATAGCAGATATGAAGACATAAGCTCAAATTAAGCTAGCGTAATATATAACTAAAACCACGCAGCTAGTCAATTTACTTCTTACAAACGAATATTAATTAACAGCATTTGTAAATAAATATGCTGTACGAATTCTGAGCCTACACAAATTATGATAAATAGCGAAACCGATATATTAGCAGGGCTGTGTAACTCGATTCGTTGTGTATCGCTTTCGTTTATTGATCAGCCTACTAATTTGATATTGGTAACCGTTCCATTCACGGACGATTCAACTCTACTTAGGTTTTTATGGATATCTAAAAGTCACTTTGGCATACACTGCGATTTATTTCTATACCCACTAAGTATTTGAAGTTCACAATGAGCTTAGGTATGTCAGTTGTACCGCAAGTGACTTTAACAAAAGATAAACAAAAAAATCAGACAATATTTGCTGCTTGTAAAGTGAAACATGAAGATATTTTCTTGAATGTAAACATTTGACAGATGTCTGTCCGGTTGGATATGAAAACTGGGAAATGATTTGAACTCCAACCAAAAAGTACCTGAAGAAACCCGACGTTTTGGAACCGACTTGGTTCCTTCCTCAGGGGTGACTGGAACTACGTACCCGCGGCATTTTCAAACACTCGAAGGGCGGTTAATGACTCTCTCTCTCTATCCCGTTTTGCCATGGAGCGCAGTCCATGTGTATACACTGGGGTGGGGGGGGGGGAACAAAACATCAACCACTCTCTCTGAACCCTTCCCCAAGTGTATACACACGGACTGCGCTCCACGGCAAAACGATAGAGAGAGAAAGAGAGAAGAGGAGGATTCATTATCACACCTGCGAGTGCTTTGAAGACGCCGCTACTACGTAGTCCCAGTCATACCTGAGGAAGGAACCGAGTCGGTTCCGAAACGTCAGTTTCTTCGCGTACTTCACGGTTGGAGTTGAAATCATTTCCGAGATATTTCCTGTGCCTCGTACTGCCTTTGAGAAAACATAGACATGATCAATGTGATCATTTTTGGTAGCTTGCAATTTGGCATGCTGCAAGCTCACAGAAGCCATGCAAGAGCACAGCCAAAATTTCCTCACTTATCAAAAGCCACGTAAGCACTGTTGGGTATTATTAGTTCGACAGATCACCTAATTTTTTCAGTGGAACGAGACTCAACGTGGACTTACGTAAATTCGTGATGCGCATTTCTATAGTTATACGAAGCCCCTATTTTCTGCTGTGCCTTCCATAATTCTGACTCTGAAGACCATTACAAATGCATAGTGTGATTAAGTCCCGATAGCTTCTCGTAGTTTAACGATTATGTGTTGTCTAACGCTGTGACAAAATAAGGGAAGAAGTGTAAATCTAAGGGCTCGTTCCTTTGTTAAACAAAATAATGTTCAGAACAGACAATGATGATAAGGAAAGTATAGGGGATGTTATTAAAAGTGATTGCAATGTAAGTGTGAAGGAAGTAAAGTGGACGAAAAGATAACTTGTCGTTGGTGCGGACCGAACTGGCTGAAAGGAGCGTTCCACACTCGTCGTAGTGGCTGTTGGCGGCTCTAACTGACACTCTCACATTTAAATGCACATATACACCCTTTAAAGCGGACAAGGCGATGACCACCACCGTAGCTCACTGGCAGAGCATAGGATGCGTTATTAGAAGGTCGTATGTTAAGTCCCAGCCGGCGACAAGTCATCTCGTCCACTTTTCTTTTTTCGCATTTACACTACAATTACTTCTAATCACATCCCTACACTTTTCTTGGCATCATTGTCTGTAAGTTCTCATAAAAGCTGCGATAAAAGGTTCAATAAACTTGCGTCCACTTACCTTCATCTGGATCTGTCTCATCGACATATATCATAGTAGGTTTGAAACTGGAACGAAAGCAAAAAAAAGCAATATGAGTCTTCTTTTTGCTGCTGTCATAAAAAAACAATCAATATAAAATTATCAGCGTTACACTTTGTGATTTCAATGCTACAGAGCTTCCTAAGTTTCGTCATCGTGTGCTTCGCTAAACGGAATGGCCCTACGCAGCTTAGATCACCGGGATTATAGATTTAATCACGTCGTATTCGACGCGCAATCTGTTCGGACCACTTCCGTTGAAATCTGTTCCTAAACTTGGTAAAACGTATAAGTGGCTTACGAAGGAGAGTCTCTTTTTGAAACATTAGTTTTATTATAAACGACTACCTAACTCGACTTGTTTCAGAAATAACAGTGCCTCAACAAAACACGGAGTTTCATTATTCTTCGGGTTCTTCATTGATATTCTGCCGATTTTTCTTTTTTATTGTTCCTGCTTGCTCGTGTAACACAGATATTTAAAAATATTTTTTTTCATGCGGTAATGATTAAATACCCTGAACAACACTTGCGATGAATTTGTCTGCACTTATCGTGCTACAGTGGCGATCGTGTGTCCCTTACCAGGTCACCTTCACCTATAAGAAAGAGTTTCACCATCATCGGCATGCTTAACATGTATCAGCATATCTAGGCAAAGCCCCATTATCAGAAAGGAGCATCGACTGCTGAGCTACAAGGAAATGTTCACGATTGCGATATTTCGGCATTGTTAAAGCGCGACACAGACTCCACAAGGTCACAGTGTATGTGTACGCATTTGGACGCCACAGTGGACTATACCGTCCGGAACTAAAACTATCTTGTGTGGATAAGCAAGAGGTTGATATCGATAAGGCTGTGATGTCCACTCTGAGCACCTGTTCCTGAAGGATCCCACGAGTTGAAAACCTTAGCACTCGATCAAATACACTGTTTTCTTTAAGTTCACATTATCTTTGACCCCCCCCCCCCCACACACACACACACACCCGTGATTAATGAGCTGTGGTAAGGAACGCCCATGCCTACTGCGTTTACTCGCATACTACCAGCACTGGCAAGCCCTGGCTAATATCAGCTCTTGCTGGCTACATTATGGCTGGTATATATTTTACTGTTTTGTCTGAATGATGACGTTTGTTAGTTTACTGCTAACTAGTGTCAATTAGCGCTAACTCGTCTTGGCTAAGTGGCGTGCAGCCTTGGCCAAATGATAGAAAGTGTCGGCTAATGCAGTCGATGTCGGCTGTCCGCTGTAATAACACCAATGTCGTCTCCACTCAAGCTCATTCAAATAATGATGTCGCCCACGCGCACGCAATCACCCTACCTGGCTGAGTTTCTGTCCTCGTTTTCTCTCTTTTTCCTCTTTCTTGTGAATGTGTGCACCCATTCGTCGATAGTGCCAGCGACACCGGACTATCATCATCATCATCATCATCATCAGCCTGACTACGTCCACTGCAGGACAAAGGCCTCTCCCATGTTCCGCCAGTTAACCCGGTCCTGTGCTTGCTGCTGCCAATTTATACCCGCAAACTTCTTAATCTCATCTGCCCACCTAACCTTCTGTCTCCCTCTAGCCCGCTTCCCTTCTCTGGGAATCCAGTCAGTTACCCTTAGTGACCAGCGGTTATCCTGTCTACGCGCTACATGCCCTGCCCATGTCCATTTCTTCATCTTGATTTCAGCTATGATATCCTTAACCCCCGTTTGTTCCCTAATCCACTCTGCTCTCTTCTTGTCTCTTAAGGTTACACCTACCATTTTTCTTTCCATTGCTCGCTGCGTCGTCCTCAATTTAAGCTGAACCCTCTTTGTAAGTCTCCAGGTTTCTGCTCCGTAGCTAAGTACCGGCAAGATACAGCTGTTATATACCTTCCTCTTGAGGGATAGTGGCAATCTACCTGTCATAATTTGAGAGTGCTTGCCGAATGTGCTCCACCCCATTCTTATTCTTCTAGTTACTTCAATCTCGTGGTTCGGCTCTGCGGTTATTACCTGCCCTAAGTAGACATAGTCTTTTACAACTTCAAGTGCACTATTACCTATCTCGAAGCGCTGCTCCTTGCCGAGGTTGTTGTACATTACCTTCGTTTTCTGCAGATTAATTTTAAGACCCACCTTTCTGCTCTCCTTGTCTAACTCCGTAATCATGAGTTGCAATTCGTCCCCCGAGTTACTCAGCAATGCAATGTCATCGGCGAAGCGCAGGTTACTAAGGTATTCTCCATTGACTCTTATCCCTAACTGCTCCCATTCTAGGAGAGCAGCGATGGCGTAGTGGTTAGAGCATCCGACTCGTATGCAAGAGGTCCGTGGTTCAAATCCCGGTACCGCGCAGTTCCCAACCGGATTAAAAAAAAAAAAATCCGCGTGTTGATGGAACTGCATTAGGAGGCCTGGGGTGCGGCCTCACCGGCAAACACCGCCGAGAACGCACTCCCTCACCAGAGAAGGATTGGCCACCCTGGTGCAGTATCTGGCCACTACCTCCCACATGCTTACGTCAAATAACCGGACTATCATGCTCACGTAACAGCGCAAGATAGCTCGCGTTGGTCTTCGCCCACGCGGCATCTGCCACCGTCAGGTTGGCGCGCCTTCGAGAGTTTTTGGGAGTCGCCCCCGGAAATACGCGCTTGGCATAGCATTCCTGCGACTCCCAGGAGAAGAAAAGGGAGGGCACGGCACGTCGGCGGACCTGTTGTTTTCTGTTGTTGGTTTAAAAAGAAAAAAAAGAGAAAAAAAGGTGAGGGCTGTGTGCGGGCTCACTCGCTCTCCAAAACACTGCTGATAGATGAGGAGCCGCCGCAGGTCTTGGACGCGTTCCCGCGACACGAGTTGTTGATGAGCATCCTTCCCAGGCGTCGCTCCTGTATACTTCTTACCGTCTTTCTTATTCAAAAGCCGCGTCCTGCTCTTGGCTCTTCCTTCACTCCCGTCTGGATGCACCTCCTTCCAATAGAATCTTCGGCCTCCCTTGTACAAGAGGCGAATAGCTACAGCTGCGGGGGGTGGAAGCCAGCATTGTTTTGGACGGCTTTGAAACACGAAGCCTCACAGCTACCGGCTGCTGGGTAAAAGATGCCTGTCGCAATCGCCTGGGCGGCTCTTTTTTCGGGGTAACGAAGTCGGGGGTGCCGGGTGCTATTCTGGACTTTCGGAAATTCCCGCCTATTTTCAAATTCACCGTCTTCTCGGTTCCGATTGGCTCACGTGGCTGTCACCTCATCGTCCTCTGAGTAGATCAGTGTCAACACGGAGGAACGCGGTGTTGTTGCCTAAGTGTCACAACGTGGCCGAACATTAATTTTGATGGATGAGTCTGGAGTTAGAAAAGCTGCTTTTCGTGAATGAGCGTGTTAGAACATGAATGTGTTCTTCGCCTGGCTCTGCAAGAATTAGTCGAAGGAAAATCGCGAAAGCACAATAATTTGTTATGCTAGTTTGAGTTTTGCCTAAACCCTATAGGTTGATAGTGATATGATTCATTATTTAATAAACCTGC